TGATAGATCGAGGCATACGCAGATAAATGTGAAAAAAAGGAGAGAGAAAGGGCAGAGCAATGAGAGGAGAGACAATGCAGAGGGCCTGCATGATGGTGAGGGATGGAAGGCGGGAGGGATGAATAGGTTGGTGTCTCTAAACTCCAACCTCAGAGCCTGACTAATCACTTGACAGACAGTTAATGTGGTACTGAGGCAGCTCTTGAATCACCGGCTGTCGTGGTTTCTTAAGAATGGAAAATGAAACTGATTTTTGATCACTGACCTTGAATGAAAAACAGCCAACATTACTGTACACATCATTTCATCACGTTTTGCATTTTTATTTCTAGACTGAAGATAAAATGCGCGCTTTGATGAATAGAGTCAACGGACAATGCAGTTTTTGACCTTAATTCTTAATATATAGCAAGATATAGGGAAACATGGGGAAATTAGATTTGCAGTGTTAATAAAAATACCAAAAATGTGACTTGTGATATAAAAATTTGGCTAAAACCTAAAGAATCAAACCAAGCCTAAATTATCTACATTTTAGGAGCTTTTCAATGGCTTTGTTCCTTCTAAAGACTTCAATATGGGAGCATTATTTAGGGCTATGTCCACAAATCTGCTTTGTCCGCTGGGAGCATTTACCACCCCGCGCTGCTCTGGCAGCTTCTCTGGTTCTCCTCTCGCTGACTCGGACTGGCAGCGGCTGTCTTACCCAATTACACCTGACGGGGTCCGACCCGTGGAGCTGGGATAACTGGTTGCTGGCTGAACACTCTGTGACCTCTGTCGCTGCCTGTATGGAAACTGTCTGCGTGCGTTCGTCGGCATACATCTGTATGAGCTTTGGTGGTTTGCCTGGTACAAACTCTGATTTTTACTGAACACTCAGAGTGCAGTTTAGACTATTTCTGTTCACCTTTCCCAGTTTGAACTTTTGACCCATTCCTCAGCTCTTGGCTTTCATGTCACTTGCCGTTCTATTGGGACTCTTAGTCTTTTAAAGGAAATCAACATTTCATTAACAGTGAACCGACACCATGATCCTAGTGATCCTTTACTCAACTCTGACCCATGCAGCACTCACTCTCTCCATTCTTTTGGTCTCTTGCTCAACACCCGACAGCCACAATCATTGCTCACAGTCCTACAAACACTTAAGAGATCAATGCTCTGAGAGTGATAATCTCCTTCCTGGTAGAGGGTGAAAGCCTTCTCCTAAGACAAGCAAAGAGTGGCAGGGGAGAGACAGAGCCATAGAAAGAAAGCACAGAGAGATCAGGACAAGTGTCTCCTCTCAAATGGAGTGACATCTATATTCTTTATCGACAACTGACCCAACCGAGAGCTCTTCCGGCAGGGAGGAGGTGACCGATCCATTCACAGAGAGAGAGAGAGAGAGAGAGAGAGAGATGAAGACAGATAGAAGGAGAAATACTGAGACACAAAAGCGATGGGAAAAGAAGACGAGGCGGGGAGATGGAGAGAGTAAAACCACTACGTGCATGACTAACATAGGAGAGGAGTAGAAGTAATGTTCAACAATTAAAAATCGTTATTCTCCCTGTGTTAAGCCAGTACTTACCTAATTAGCCCCTGCTGAGAATAAAGAAACCTGTTCTAAGGATCAAATGAAAATAATAAAAAAGGAGTCTAATATTTTAGTTTGACAGGCACCATGGAGCACATCACTGCCCAAGAGTCTGTGGAAGCATCCGTGACACATGCATAAGAAAACTTTACACGTGTGCAGTTGTGATGAAAACGAAGGCCAATTTAGAAGACGGGTGTGTCACCTCCAGCTATTCACTCGGGATGGCGGCCAACACAAGATGGGCCCTGGTTGTGTCTGCTCGCAGTTCAAAAGCAAATACACACAGGTGCACTCCTGCTCTCCCATTGCCACACACGTGATGCACTTTCCCTCGGGAGCACGTATGTATCTCATCCTCACATCTCCATTCAGCTGTGTGAGGTATTAATCAGATGAATTCTAAATCTCCTGGCTTTACATCCCTCACCCTCACCCCTCAGCACCTCCACCAACACTGATCCCCTCAGCCGGCGCTACGCCGTCTGTGTCGGGCTTCTTTCACGGGGGGGGGGCTGAATAGGCACTGCCGGGGGCGATACACATCCCTCAGGTAACCCTTTCATTATGGATGATGTTTCTGCCAAATTATTTAGGCCCCGAGCCCCATCAACACCCCTGCCCCATAAAAAAACAACACGCACAAACAAAACGCACGCATGCACAACGACACACAGACGCCAAAGCTCCAGTGCAGTCCGTCCCATCCTTCCCGCTTTCCTCGCTGTACCGCAAACACCCACTAACACAAACCTTAATCCTGCCTAATCACCTGAACGTATATGTTAGTACTGCCTCTTTCTTTGTTCCCAGAAGGTAAAGAAGTGAAAGTATGACAGTTGAATGGAGGTGGGGGAGGGTGGGGGGAGAAGGATGAGAAAAATATCCATCATATGTATGTATGCCCCTGCTGCTCTCAGTGTCATAGAGTAATCAGGTTGAGCGAAGCTACCTTGACATCATTGGCCTGAGTAATGTAGGATGTTAAAACAGGTTCGGTCAAGTGCGTGTGTGTGTGTGTATTCTTAAGAGGCCCTATTTTGAAGTTAGGTAAGAGACCTAGATGACAGTCTCCGGGCAATGTCTGAGCTCAGTTTAGAGAATGGAGAGCAGTTTGGGGATTTAAACACACATCAGTGTAACCGTTCTCTTCGTCCCTCAATTTATTTGGAAATGTGTCTCTCTTCTTTCAAATCCCATGCTCCCTGTCTCTTCCCGCCTCAGATTTCTCCCTCCCGTCCATCTCAAAGGTTTCATGGTACCTACCTCCTGCCAATTCCTACTCTCACTACATCATCCTTCCCTCCTCTCCTGACCCCAACTCAATAAAATAAGGAAATATTCAGATTTACCCCCAAATCTCCCACCCGTTTGCTTATTACTACATTCTCCCATAATGTTTCTACATAATGTGGCTTTATTTGTTTTTTCAATATTTTACATTTTAAAGAAAGGTTATGCAATATACTCATCCAACGTCAGTGTATTATCTACAGTTAATGGTTGTCGGCCAGCCCCAACTTTGGTGAAGCAGAGAGGAGGAATAGCATGGTAGAAAAGTAAAGTATTGCTGCTGACGGGGCAGGAAAGAAAGACCAACCACTATTTTCCGACATGTATGTGAAACTCCACAATACTGTTGAGTTGATGAAGGCCTGTGACTTTGAAGATAACATAGATTCACTATCTATTTCACTTTCAGGTTCAAGTTTCACTTCCAGTGCAGTTCCCTGCCAGTTGTTTTGTATTTTGGCTGCCATCTAAAATAAGTTACACTCATATTCTACTACCTTTGCACTGATTGTTCAATACTAGATACATTAACTTAACCCTTGGGAGACTAGCCTCTTTTTTGGCCTGTGTACTAACTCTGGAATAACTTCTGTCTATTTGAACCATTTCTTTTTGTGGAGATAAAGGGGACCCCCTGTAAGTGCTAGAATGTGTGACAAGCAGTTTATATGTTACTGTTGAAAAACGTATATATATATATATATATATATATATATATATATATATATATATATATATATATATATATATTACACAAGTTTGAATTTTGAGATTCGCCTCAAAAAATGTCATCTATGTGACCTAGTGTGTGAACAGTACGTATGTAAAATTTCAAGTTGATAGAGCAAGGATAAGCTACTCTACAGAAGGCTTTTGTGAAGGCCTCACGTCAGACAAACAGCTGGCTTAGATTCTTCATTTTTTGTCGAGTTCAGATTGGCTGATTTGCGTCATTCCACCACTATTGATTGGTTTAATCAGCCTGCATTTGGCTAGGGTGGCGCGGTCCTGGGCTTTCAAAGGCTTTTACTTTGAAAAACGGGTAGAATGTCACATGTCACTTGAGATTTCTGATTGGCTCAAAAAAACAAACAAACAGCTGGCTTGAGCAGCCATCTTGCTTCTCTCACGTGGAGTAATGTTTCTCTAAGAACGGGAAATGAGACCTCATTGCAAAAACCGCTGATTAAAACCAGAACTTCTGTGGAAAACAACAAAGTTAAGACACATTTATGATTTTTTGCTTTGTTGGCTTGATGGGTTTTGTACTGGAAGTTCGGCATGGTTTGTCTGAGCGAAATCAATCGCCATAATCAGCGCAACGTGCTCCAGTGTTGCTGTAGCATAAAGCATCGTAAAAATATTGCACTTTTGTTTAGTCAAGTCCCCAATTTCTGGACAAATCTGCATGGAATATGTTCTTACTCTTACCCCACTCACTAAAGTTGTGTTTGGAGTATTTTTTAGTTGCGATGGTTTGTTGGTTATTTTGCGATAACTAGTGTTGTTTTTCATTGTAGCATTTCTTTTCGACGGACTGAAAAAGTTGTACACCATTGGTCACACATTTGCATAGTATTATTTATTTTTTTATAGTATTTACTAATTTTACCATAGTTAAAGTTGTGTTTGGAGTATTTTATTTGGACTGGGGTTTATTGTAGGCAGGACTGTAATGCTTTAAAAAGATAAAGCATTCAGAAATGTAGGTTTTGCCTCGGTTCTGACCCGACTCTGGCTAATTTTTTGCTGCTGTAGGGTTTTAAATGTTATAGTTGTGTGCAAAAGATTGGCTCCATTCTCTGTCTCCCTTTCAATGCCCCTAATTTCTTCCATCCTTCCTCACTATCTCCGTTGTCCCTTCCAGAACACTGGGTCTCCCTTCCGAGCTCCAATCTCCTTTGCTCCTTCCTTCCTTCTTTCCTCCCTTCCTTAACACACCCTTCCTGTTGCCACTTTCTGACTTCCATTTTTTTCTCTTTTAATCCTTCCTGTCTCTATCACTTGCATCAACGTGATTATCGTCCACTATTCTTACCTAAGCAGCAGCAACCTTATTGCGACAGTTAACCAGGAACCTTTCACAGTACTTCCCCCCTCAAATCTTTTGGCTTCATGGACTCACCTAGGCTGAATAGGACCAGGAACTTGAGGCAGACAAACTCCCGTTGGTCAATCTGCAGTGAGCGTAGCTTGGCCACCAGTTCTTGGGCGTGGCTGAGCAGGTTGTTGAGGGTGGCTCCCGCCTGTGACGCAATCACTGCATAGTCCACCTGGAATGAGCAGGGAGAGTAGCGTATCAAGAGATGCATTGAAGGGGTAAAATTATGGATTATGTACTCTGTAGAGTTTATCTTGGAATTGTGGGTGCTGAATTGAATATCTAGATCTTAGCAACTTGTAGGGTAGCAAGGATCGCCAGCAAAAGAGAAAACGCAGTATGTTTAGGTCGGTGGACAGTGGTGATTCAAAAATTGGGGTGAACACGAGTAAACACACCAATCCCGTTGAGTAATCCCACCAATGGCGATATGTTGATTTACACAAGTTGGCTACTTTCATTAACTTTTCTTGTGTTCAGTTAAAAATCAAGGGCCGTCCTCCTCTGCGACCCGACCATTTAACTCAGAGTGCAGTAATGGATTTTGAAAAAGAAGAGAGAAAAATATTTTATCATACTGACACTAACAATAATGGTTTAGTTCAAGCAATTCATGTTTGAAAATGAAAAGGATGAACAACCTCGTCTGGTTGAGATACAGCATATAGCTTTCCCTCTCTTGTTGCCTGCTGTTACACACTTGTTTCAGTATCTAAGCGTAGATATTTCTTTGGGATGCTTATCCCCATGCAAGGAATGTTTTAATCAATGAAAATGGATCTTAAATCACAATATGCAAAAATGACTGATGACCATGAACGACATGACTTTACCCTGAACACATAAGCACCATTAAGATAATATAATGATTTCTAAATCCCTTTCAGCACTTTCAACACACAGTTAAAAGCTTTAGTGGGTCTGTCTGTGAGACATTGGTGGATGTGTCAGAAAAGCACCTACAGGGTCAATGCTTTTTTGGTTTAACATTTGACTGACAGACAGAATTCTGTCTTTCCTTTTCTGGTGCACAGCAAAACAAAAACCACCAGATAGATAAATAGATACATTGATAGATATATTACACATCAAATCTGTCCATACACACACAAACACACACTCCTTTTTCAGTTGCACTTCATATGTGCAGCCGCAGCACATTTGTCTGGGAGGCAAGTCCTTAGCTGTCACTCAAAGTAAGCAAGACCATATTAAATTTTCATATTTATTGACAATTCATTACCATAATTGACTGTGCTAGGGGTTCCCTTGGAAGGTAGTTGTTGCCGTGTGCAGTTCTGAAAGCTCAGGGAAAAAGAGGGTCCCTGTGAGGCTCAATTTGCAATTAAAAACGACCCCGGATTTGGAATTCGTTTATTGTGTAAGGAGGTTGGTTGGAACATGTTTCTCATCTGCGAGGCAGTCAATGGTTGAAATAAAGTAAATGTTTACAATACATTACGTTTTCATCTGTTCTCCTGTACTGCTTTTCTTGTCTTTCTCTTTTACCACACTACTGTACCTCCTCTTTCGATTTATCCTTAACTCCTTTGCCTCTCCCTCTTCCCTCCTTCCCTCCTTTGAGACGGTTAAGAGTTATGACTCAGTGAAAAGCAGACACTGCCCCCTTCCAAGATGTCAATCAATTTACATAAAATCAACTGTGCATGAAATAACTTCATTGAAGGATTGGACTGTTGATGGTGATGCCCTGGGTTATTGCCTTCTAGCCTCAAGTAAAAAGAGAGAAGGAAAAAAATGCTATAATGTCACTATAGCAGACTTAGCACTAACCCCGGTGACCTGTGCCTCAGTCAATCAATCAATACTACTTTATTATCCCTCCTGGAGAGACATGGGGAGTAAATATATGAATAAACCTTCAAATCTTAACCCATCATGAATACAATAAACAGCCCTAGCAGAACATTAAAGATCCATATTTAAGGCGAGCTCGGTTTGATGGGTGGAGGGCTTTGATGTGTGTGGTACACAGGGATGGAAATGTACCTTGTTTTGAAAGCACATGAATCCACTATTGGCCAAGAAACTTCAGTTTTAGCATTTCTTCCTCATTTGAATTTCATGCACACCGGGAGCGTTGTGCTATCAGAATATCAGGATTTTCATACCCGAAACGGGCTGCCAATCTGTGAGGCCTTGCTTAATCATTCAACAGTTCAGACCAATCTTTGTCATTTCGTGTTCGCGCACATTTGTACGTTTGATGCTGTGACAGGATGAAGAACAAGCTTTCTTTTCTCTCCCCCACAACCCAAAAAAACCACTCATGGCCATTTCTCACTGCTGACGGTGACATGAGTGCATGATATAGTTCACAGAATGACAGAAAATAAGAAACTGCAGAAATTAGCATGTGAGGCCAAAAGAGACAGAGGACAGAGGACCTTCTTGTGCCATGGAAGTCCTTTTAAGTATGAGTGCAGGGTTTGACTAACAAGAGCAAAGGAAAGGCTTGATTTAAAAATTTACATTTTAACAAATTGTCTGAAGAGTTTTCTAAAGAAAAAGATGGTTCATTTTAAGAATAACCAACAGCCAATAACATTAGCAGTTGAGTTAGCACATTACAGACCAGTGTGGCCAATGAACGCGCAGCAGGTTGGCCCAAACAGTCATTATGTGATTTGTTATGTATGTGTGTGTGTAGCGTTAATGCTGCTACTGTGTTTTAAATATCCCTGGTGTTATCGCTGGGCTGTCACCCCTGGCCAGGCACGGAATAATAGGAAATAATGAACTGTTTCAGAGCCTCACACACACACACACACACACACACACACACACACACACACACACACACACACACACACACACACACACACACACACTTTTTCCCATTGCCCAACCCCCCCAACACCAGCTGTTCATTAACCACGGTATGCAAACGAAACTGCCGTCCTGTGCCTCCCCTGATTATCATGCCCTTCTCCTTACCGCTCTGGTCCCTGCAAACTGCTGTCATCATCTCCTTGCTTCATCTCCTCCTTTCTTCCTTCTTGTCCCCTACCACCTTTAGTTTCTCTCCCTTGTCCTCGCTAGTCCGCCCTTTCCTTACGTCCTGCCTCTCATGGCTACTGTCGACTTCTTCACTTTTACTTCAGTACAGGTTTTTTTTTTTTAATCTTTTATCTCTGCTTCTTTTGCCCTTTTCCTGCTTCCGTTACTTTTCTCCACAGACCTGTTCTCATTCCTCTTTCCCCATCAATTCTATTATTTCATCCCTTTCTCTGTGTCTTTACACCTGTTAGTGTGGATATTGGTCGGTTCTTAGCTTCTCTGGATACAAACACCCCAACTTGTTTCCATTCAGCATCATGAAAATAAAGTAGGACTTCTCTGTATACAGTGCACTTGCCTTGCTTCAATATTTATACCAGCATCCATTGTTGTAAAACATTTTGTTGAAGAGCAATGTTTTGAAGAGCCAGCCAATCAATAATGTATGACTTCTTCTCTCCACTGGTCAGAGGCATATTCGAGATGAGCGTTCTTATGTTTTTGTGCGTGCATGAGATTACGAAAATCACTGAATACTGAAGGAGTCTTCCCTGCCTGCTTGGGATTTATGTGTTTACAGTTTGACTGTGTGTGTGTGTGTGTGTGTGTGTTTGTGTGTGTGTGAACCAAAACGGAATCACAGTATCCTGAGGCTTTGAGGACCTCAATTTGGGCCTCAGGCATCGGCTCCTCAAGGGCCCCAGTAAAACAAAATAACATACTTAGCCACATTCTTATCTGTCCGCCCACTCACTATGCTGCACCATGCGTAACCGGGTGCTTCATATGTGCACTGGCAGAGTCTTTATGCACTTAGAAGAAGAAGAAAAATGCTGAATTGATTATTCTGGTGACATTAGTATATATCTATAAAGCATTATCTATTTTTAATGAACCGGAGACTCCTGTGCGGCTGAGTGATCAATACGGCATCAAGGGAAATGTTGAGGTGTTGCAGAGTTCTGGAAGCATGGTTGTCAGGGTTTCGGAGGAGAGGGTTGAGGTAGATGGAAGTTTCCCGGCTGTGTTTTAATCAACTCACCTGCTGGCCAGTGACCAATAGGATGGAGCCCTCCTTGGCGTGCATCACCTGCCGGAAGACGTGGTCGAGGATGAGTAGTTCACTCCAGCAGTTCTGCAGCAGCTTCATCTGGTCATCCACCTGGTAAAAAAAAAAAAACCCGTCAGTTCAAGTACTTGACTCAATGGAAAAAACAGACAATAGGAGTTCAACATGAGAAGCCACTGTGAATTAAAGTGCTCAAAAGTGAGCGAACAATGCCTAAAAATCTATCGTGGCATCATCTACCATTTCTGCATCTCCTTTTCGAATCGATTTACTTACACGGTAAAAACAAAGCAGCAAACCCCTAAAACCAAAGGATTGAGGCCTTTTTATGTATTTATATCCCTGGCTGTTGTTTGCAAGTTCAAAAGTCCCCTGCACGCACTCCACAGCTTTCTCATCACTGAGTTAAGCACGCTCTGTGCGTAACTTCACATTTTTGCCAGGTTTATCTGTTTGCCCATTGCCAGCAGTTTCTGAGTGATTCCACAGAAGATAATGATTAAGTGGCCTTTTTGAATGCCAGCCGCTGGCTCCCAGGGACTCGCCAGGTGAGCTTGGGAAGCTGAGGCAGGTCAATCGGTGGTCCCGTACACCAAAACAACCCCCTCCATTGTAACTTAGTCTCTTCCCATGCCCGGCGGTGTTAATCATTACTCCACAGAGGCAGACAGACAAAAAGGGCCACATTGAGAAGGAAAGAATGAGGAAAATGTATGAGAGGCTCTTTCTGTCTCCAGCATCCCCCTTTTTTTTTGTCAACAAACTTTGTACCCTTTGTGGTATCATTGGGAATCATGTGTCTTTTTGAGCACGCTGTGGTTTTGTGGGAACGTTCTGTGATGTCCAATGTCAACCACAACGTGTCGGGTGAAGAATGTGGATCGATGGTAATACTTTGCGACACAGGCAGGTGCAGCATGAACACTGCTGAAAAGGAATTTATTTTTGTGTTGTCTGGAAAGTGCACACGTTTGTTAAGATCTACAATGACCTTAGGTAAAAAAAAAAAGGAAAAACTTTTAATTTATTTTTTTGTGTTGTTATGGCTGGTGATTGGTGCTGGTGCCACACAGTATCTGTATCAGTAACTTTTCCGGCATGCAAAACAATAGCTGTGTGTTAACAATGGCCTGGAACACACTGCTGGAGGACGGAGCCGCCCGGCAGTGGTTGTTTTTGACCATAGTTGCAATTTGGGTTCTGTACCGGCTTCGATGTACGTAACCCTCGAGATCATCACAGTTCAGCGGTTCCACAAGGCCCTTTTCAGGCCTTCAACATCTAACTAAACTGTTCAAAATGTAATGAATAAAAAGCCAGGGACAGTGCAGGGAAAACCAAAACAAAGTAGCAAATCTTTGAATGCTCACATCTCCCATTTCTCTTCAGTCAGTGAAAGTCATATGACAACATACAACAAAGCTTCTGTGACGTTTTTTGGAATATTTCTGAGGGCATGGTGGACTCTCTTTGTCTCACCGCTCCTCCCTCCCATACATCTATTTTCTGAAGCGTCTCAATATTCCAATGCCTTCATTAAGACCATCAGAGCTAGAAACACGGTCAAAGGACAGACTTCTCCATATGCCCCACTTCTCTTTTTTTCTTTAATTTCTCCATATTCCCTGTAACAGTGTGTGTGTGTGTGTGTGTATGGACGGATGGGTACATGTAAGGCCAAGGCTCTTCAAAGGACCCCCCCCCCCCTCCGCCACTGCATGTCAGCGGTGCTGGCAAGTGCCGGGGTCCTCATCAAAGGGCTGTCCTCACTCTGCCTGCCTGGAAGCTCTTCTCTGACAAGAGGCCTGGGTCATCAAAGGGGGGCCGCTCAGAGGGGATGACGGCGGGCGATGGCGGCCCAGACAAGGGCTGGGGACACCCGCCTGGAAATGGGGAACTGGTGACAGACAGGCAGGCGTGAGGGCGGACCAGGGCGCTGGGTTCAGTTCGCTGACCTTTTTTAAGTGGCAGCGACACGAGCTGTTTCCCTGACAAGCTCTTCCTTTGCTCTGTCAAATGAGCGACGTTCATGGCGCCTGATCTTACAAGATCTGCTGCCTGCTCCCTCAGATAATATGAACCTCCTGACATGGAGCCGACAAGCGCTTCGCATTGTGTTTTCAATGCAAGCAAGTCCCTGAATACTATTTCAAGGCACTTAATGCGGTCCAACAATGATTGCGTTCCTGAATTTGATTTATTCACAATGTGACAGAACAAAGTTCAAATAAGCACTTTGTTGAACTCACCAGAAGCAATAAAACATCAGATTTCTACATTTATACGATCAGCTCATTTCTTATCTCACCAAGTTGTCGTGGCAATTTGAGATAAGTCCTACTTTACTGCTCCAGTATGTCGACTGAGAAGGAAACAAGTTTTTTTAAATGCGCTTGATAACACTGTTATTTGAAATAGGCTCATTCAGTGTGACGACAACGTTTTGTCGGGGTTGCCGTTTTTAATTAAATTGTTGAAAATTTCTCTTACTAAAATAACAAAATCGAAAGTCCGGAAGAGGAAGTAAGTTTTGTTATTTCATTTCCGCTCTCTCACTTGTGGATTATTTGAAAAATATAAAAGTATGTATTTGATTTCATGATATAACTTATATACCAATATACTATATTTTGGTACCAAACTCTGCAACTCACCACAAGATAGTTAGTAACATTCTTTCCTTCAACACAATGGTCGTCTCTTTCTTAAAAAACTAAACCTGCGTTATGTTTATTCATCAAGTACATTCTATTTATTAGTTTTCTATAAATCAACACGTGTAAATGTCCCTGGAGTGATCAACATAATTAAGGAAAAACTGGGGGTCAACTTGTCATTTCTGCTGTTCTCATTTGTTTTGTAAGATATTACATTTGATACCAGAGCAGCAACTTCAGGTATTTAATCTAGTTTTGTAACAAATATTTACTCTCAAATTGTTTATTTAGTAAATGTTAGCTGGTCATGATATGTAGGTCACATAAGTGAAGGAGTTTTTCTACTTTTGCTTCCACATTACACATTTGGCCAATCCCAAGGTTCCACTTGTCCTTGGTGGGAACAAAAGTCATTGCAAGGATTCAGCTGCTGAGGTTTGGGCTGATGCAGAAAACACTTCACGGAAAACTGGCTTCAGAATCCACATCGAAGGCGTTTCAAGGTGTGATATTTATAATATTTTAATATCATCACCAGTGTTTGGTTAAGGAATAGCGAGAGACTCCAAGCAGGAACTTCTACTGCAATGAAAAACACATATCCTCCAAGAAACCAATTTAACACCTTTATGATCGTTCAGGCGAATGGGATCAATGCCAGGATCAATCGCTTAGCCCATAGCTTTTGTTCAAAACCACTGGCTAAGATTAATAGGATTTTCCAGAGAGAGGTAGAAAAAGAAAGAGAGCGCGAGGCGAGAGAGGGAATGAAAGTGCCAGACAGGGAATGAGAGAATGAGAAAAGACTTGGGGGAAATTGAGAAAATAAAACAAAGTGATTAAGCGCAGATATTGCCTCCATTCCTGGGTAAATGTAAATTAATTGGAAATGGAGCATTCAGATGCTCGCTGACTGAAATAATGTTTATTCATAGCCCCCTGCTAAGAGTAGAGCAATTATCATGGTGTGTTGAGTCAAAACAGGCCAGTGTAGTAGAATCCTTCCCCCCCTTTCTTGTGGCCGGGTTTTGGTCTAGTGCCACGAGCATTGTTAAGCTTCGTACGCTACGGCTGGCTTTAACGAGAGTACACAGCTGGATCTGGTTTTAATAAGTAGTTCCATTTTTGATGTGGCCTAATGAACAGATTAATGGAATCTCCTTCTGTGGAGCCTTAATGAATGGAGAGAATCATGCTATTTTTTTTAAAAAGACGTGGGGGTAGAACACACACACACACAGAAATCCATTCATTTATCTGCCTCAAACGACTTGTACATAAACAATAGCTGTGCCTCTATCTTTCAGTCTCTCTGCTGGACAAGAATCAATGCTGTCTCGGAATACTACAGGTGAGGTTTGAAGCCGACATCAATGCTCGTGCGTTTTATAGCAGCCGCCCTTTGGTGCTATCCTGCCTTGGCATCTGTTCGCCTTGAGCCAAACAGGTCCCGTATTCACCTGGGAACGGGCATTAATTCACCTAGAACAGCGTCTGTTGTTCTCGGAGCATTTCGAACGCTTAATTATGCCGAACCTGAATGTACTCCAGCTCATTTTTCAGTTCATAGTTTGGTCATTTAATTGAAAAGAGTCTCAGTGTGGGGTTTCGCTGCCAACAACATCCAAAATCATGGGATAGTTTGTTCTTTGCCCGAGCACACGCTTCTCTGGCTAACTAATTTGTCTACGAGTCTTTATTTCTTGACTACTACTTCTCTCTACTTGATGCAGAGGCGGATGAAAATAAAATTCTTTATACCATTTATCCCTCACTTCTCCAAACCAACTCTCGTTTGTCGTGGTGTACAGTTTTTGTGTGGGCCTTCGATCCTACGGCTGGCGGGGTGATAAGAACGCTGGGAAAATGAGCAGGTGGCGTTGGCAGTCTAGCTGGAGGAGGCCTGAGGAGAGGAATGATAATAATAGAGATAATATAGTGAGCAACTTTAGTTTCAGTCAAACTGACTCAGCCAGCAGACGAGGTTGAAGATCGAAGCTACAATAATCTGTTATTTTCTAGCTTCGCACCTGTTGGTTACCTGACATTTTTTCTGATTTACTGATGCGCTTAATCCGGATGATTAGCAAATTACAAGAAATCCATCGATTCCTTAAGAGAAGAGGCTTCAGGGGAACTTACCTCAATGCATTGAAAAAAATGACTGAACTTCTTGGATAATAATTATTATATTCTTCCTGTATTTGGTTGGTTGAGGTAAACCTCTGCATTTATATTCATTGTAATGGTTATTAAAGGTATAAGTACGTAGAACTAGTGAATGCTTATGTTGCAAAGAATGAAATACAGCCGCTCAAGAAAAACTCCAGTTCTGCTTTTCATATGATTTATTTTACTTTCTTTGATGTGCTACGCCAATATGGACCTAAAACCAAAATCTCATGTGGACATTCAGAAAACTCATAAAGGAATATT